TGTTTGATAAGCTGTGATGGCAGCAATATTAGCTAATATTAGCAATATTAGCATAGGCTTATTTTCACAATGTGAGTATCTCATGCACAAGCAAAACAAGCACTCATTACTATGACTGCCACAACCACGTGCCAAGTACTGAGGTTAGGCACAAAGACAGCCAGCCTGTGGCTGCTGTTTCAAATGTACTGTGCCACCAGCGTGAGATGCATGACAAAAGATGTTGAAGATGAAACTATTACAAAATATTTTTAAAAAGCTATTTATGTGTTGAGTATCCTTAGTCAGAAAGCCCCAAATCCTAAATGTGGGCAGATCAGAAAGAAACACGTCTGGTCCCAGGTATTCAAAAATATATTTATTTTTGTTTTATGTATTTGGATAGTTTGCCTGCATGTATGTCTGCATGTAGTGCCCACAAAACCAGAAGAGGGAGCCAGATCCCCTAGAACTGGATTTACAGACTGTTGTTGAGCACCATGTAGGTGCTGGGAACCAAACCTGGATTGTCTGAAAGAGCAATAAGTGCTCTTAACCACTGGGCCATCTCTCCAGCCCCTTGCTCCTTAGGCATTTTGGATCTCCAGGCTCTTGAATGCATTGTCCTCTCTAGTATTTATAGAAGTCCTGTAAAGCAGATGGCATAGGTCTGTTTCACTAGTGAAATGATGAATGCCCAAGTGAACAGAGATGTTTTAAAGGCTAAACTCTAGTACCGCTGAATGGATCACACTTAAGAGTCTCTGAAGATGTAATTCAAACCTCTCTCTTAAAATGACCTTGTTCTGAGAGTGGGGCCTAACTCTGAGGACCCATCCTTGCAAGAGACACAAGGAAACACACAGGGAAGAAGCAGAGACGGAGGCAGAAACTATGGAATGTCATGGTCACAAGAAGAGGGGTGCCAGAGATCAGCAGAGGCCACCAGCAGCAGGAGGAGAGGCTGAGCTGAGATACATGCTCAGATTTCTCCAGATATGTCAATTCCATTTGTCAAATGATAAACAATAGTATTGTATTCACACAGCAGTTATCCTACAATGGGTGTGTTTGTCTTGAGTCCCAAATTCAAATGATTATTTTGATGATGGTGGGTAGTCTTCATTGCCACCTGGACTGGATTTCAAGTGGGCGAGGAGTCACACCTGAAGGTGTTTCCAGAGAGGTTTAACTGAGAAAAAGTGACCCTAAGTGTGGGTGGCACCACTGCACAGGCTGGGGGCCAGGCTGAATGTGAAGAACAAAAGAGGAAGCAAGATGACTCTACGCCTTCCTTCATCTCTCTCTGCAACCTGATTGTGGATGCAGTGTGACCAGCTGCTCATGTTCCTGCTGTCATGGCTAGGGCTGTGCAGCCTCTCCCACCATGATGGCCTTCAGTCCCAAACTGTGAACCCAGGCTAGCCCTTCCTCCCCTACGTGGCTTTGGTACAGCTAGACTGGATGGAGGTTTCATGGAGAGATGTCCCTTTGATTTGGCCTGGATAGGGGAGTTGACTTTGCAAAGGCCAACTAAGCCCAGGCTGTGGGGAAGCAGGGATGACGTCATGCAGCTCCCTCAGAGAAGAGGACACAGAGCTAAAAGAAGAATGGTGGTCTTCAGTGAGTAAGATGCATGTCACACAAATATGAAGACCCAAGTTCGGATGCTCAGAACCGAGGAGAAGCTGGATGTGGCAGTGCACATCTGTACCCTAGCACTGGGGAGGTGGAGACAGGCAGACCCTGAGGCCTCACTGACCAGCTAGCCTACCTGACCTGGTGAGCTCCAGGCTCAGTGAGAGACCTTGCTCCGAAAAATAGGGCAGAGAGCAACAGAAGGCACCCACTGCCCACCTCTGACCTCCACATGTCCACCCACACCCATGTATAGACCACAACACATACACACACAGACACACACACACACACATGATACATACACATACACATGTACACATGTGCACTCGTGGTTTCTAGGTCTAAATTGTACAAGAGGAACGACTATGAACTGATCCGAATTGGGTATAAGAGTGTACTTTGCCCGTCATTATGGATAGACTGCTACACGCCACACTTGCACAGACACTTCTCTCTGTGAATCGATGACACCCCCCGGTACTTTCATGCCCTTGTGTCTCTATGTTTCCAAAACACACCACACTTAGCAGAAAATTTATCCCCATTCTCTTTCCTAATGTCTATCATGCTGGTGCTACTATGGATAAATACAGTTTTTCTTTATTTCCAGCCCCGATCGATTCTTCTGTCAGAGAGCTGTAGATTGGATGCAACGTTCTGCTTCTTGGCTTGAAAGATAAAGTTGACAGCATGGGTCTGTGATTTCTCTGCTAATGAGTGACCTGTGTTAGAGTGGCAAGGAGATCTGGGGGTTGGGGTGGGGCTTAGGGGCACAGTCAGTGACTGCACAGCATTCCTCAGCTGCCAGTTCTGGAGTCTGTGACTAGGGAAAGGAATGCTTTTCAGGAGCAGGGACGGGAGGTGGGTGCTGCTGCAGACACGGCTGTGTCTGGGTGACTTTGCTCTATGGGGATGACCTGTAGTTTTGTAGGTGTCTGTAGCGGTTAGGCAGTGTGTGGAAATAGACAATTAGTGGGCAGCCCAGGAAGGATGAAGTATGTGGTGGCTGAGTGGCATGGGGGTACCCGGGGCAGCTTGCCCCCTTAGGGTGTGCTGTACAGCTGTTTCCTCTGGGTTGGGTATGATAGCTGCCATCAGTACTCCCTCATGGAGAAAGGGGGACTCACAAGGCCTGAAGGTAGACAGCAGAAGCCAGGTGTGGCATGCACTTGTAATCCCAGCACTGGACAGTCTGTGGCAGGAGGATCACAAGTTCAAGCAAGCCTTGGCGACACAGCCAGTTCTAGGCCAGCCTGGGCTATATGAGATCTTGTCTCAAGAAATAAAATAGCAGTTGGGTGGTGGCGGCACACCCTTTTAATCCCAGTACTTGGGAGGCAGAGACAGAGGCAGAAGCAGAGGGCAGAGGGCAGAGGGCAGAGGGCAGAGGGCAGAGGGCAGAGGGCAGGGGCAGGGGCAGAGGACAGGGGCAGGGCAGGGCAGGGGCAGGGGCAGGGGCAGGGCCAGAGGTAGAGGAAGAATAAAACAGCTAATCAAAACAAAACAAGACAGGTAGACAGTGGGCCATGGGTGAGGTAACTCTTCTGCAGTAGCTATCTGTAAGTTGCACAAAGGATTTCTCTGTAATGTAGCTGCTTTTGAGTCACCCATGTCTATAAGTAACCCCAATGCAGGCACTGGTTCACTCAGCTGGACAGTGGTGGAAGCCCTTCTCAGGTCCATGGATGCCTTCTCTGTCTGGAGTGCATAGACAATTGTAAAGGAGAGGAGCATCTGTGGACACAGTCCTAGATACCCAGTGACAAACCCTCAGAATAAAATGAGATGTGCTAACCATTGGGGAGGCTGTGAAGAAGTGAACCCCCATTCTCTGTGGATCACCATGACAATTGAGGCAGGAGGCAGCTCTTTGAAAAAAATGAAGGGTCAGGAGTGTGACTCCTCCCAGGGAAAGAGCTCTCCTGGGACCTGCCAGCCATGCCCTCTCTAGCCCTCACATGACAGCCAGCTGATGCTGAGAACACTGCTGCCTAAAACTGAGAAAATGCAGAAACCACCAAAACTCACACCCTCATGTGCACAAGTGGGAAAAGTGAGCTATACGTGTAAAATAGAACTTTATGTAGTAGGTGAAGGAACAGACCAACCCTACATGAACCAAAGAGAGCCCTGTGTGGAACGAGAGGAGGCTGTAGAATGAGACGGGTGTGTTTTCTCTCTCTCTCTCTCTGTGCGTGCGTGTGTGTGTGTGTGTGTGTGTGTGTGTGTGTGTGTGTGTGTGTGCATGTGGATGTTGAGGCTCTGTTATGTTTATTGCCTGTGTGTGTTTATTACACCATTTGTGGTGTGTGTGTTGGGGCGGGTAGGCTGTTGATTGCGTGTGTATTGTACACATTATGTCATTTGTGTGTGTGAAGCTGTGCCACACTGTTGTGTGTCTGTATGCTGTGATGTATGTGGGGTCTCATTCTCCCCAAACCCTCACAGAACTCACAGAAGTGGCGGTTACTTCAGACATACAAAGCACAGCCCCACCCTGTCATTTAAGCTGGTACATTTCCGAGGTCCTTCTCTCTCCTCCCTCCCCTGCAGCTCCTCTCTAGTGTCCTGGCTCCAGCCACTGAGGACTTTGAGGATACAAGCTGACAGTTCACAACTCAATACATAGATGTTGTGAAGAAAAAAAAAAAGGCTAGAGTGGAAATTCATCGGACAAGTAGCTTCTCCAGGGAGCACATAAGAAGAGTCCACTGGTGGTGACTGGCTGGGACTTGGAAGGACAGGGCTGAGAGTAGGTAATCCCAGGGTGTCAAAAGGTCATTGGCATTCTCTACATTTATCCATACCTCATCAGTGAAACCCCTCAGGTAGGCCTGAAGTCAACTCCACTCGGTCAATGTTAAATTATTTCTATTCTTTCCCAGTGAGAAGGGGGCCTTTAAATCCGTTTTGATTAAGCCAGCAGCTACAATGTTAAGAAGTGATGTCCTATCTTTTAGCACTTGGAAGTTTTAAGCAGCAGGGCCATGAACACAAAACATCGGCCATGCCTGTGTTCTTTCATTTTCTGGCTGTGCTGGGGACTGGATCTGTGGCTTTGTGTAGCTCGGCATTTTTACCACTGAGCCATAACCCCAGCCTCAGGCCATGCTTGGGTGCCTAAACTCAGTGAGTCCTCTGATTCTCAGACTCCCACCCTTATGCCCCAGCCTGAGAACAGAATTTAAAGAGGGGAAATGAAGGAGATCCTGGGCCAGCTGCGCCGTGATGAGCAACACACAGGCCTCAGCCCTCTTGCCCAGGTTGAGGAGCACTTGAGCTGTGAGGCCAGTGTCTGCTCTCAGGGCCTTCCAGTGAGCACAGAGACAGGGTGGTCTACGGTTGGTTAAATCAGAACGTCCATGGTCATGTCCACTTACCTGAGCCCAGAACAGGTGCTGAGGCTGACCACTGAAGCGGCATCCCCTTGCACATGTCCGTGGTAGTAACAGTGATCCTGAAAGAGAGAGGGGGAAATCAATCCACACATCTTCCTCCCACTTAGAATAACCCAAATTCCTCCAGTCCCCTCTCCTTGCTTCGGCTATTGGACATGTTATACCACATGACACAGGTCGTCTCAATGTTTACTGCTAAGCCCAATGTACCTTCCCAGGGTCTCTGGTTAGAGTATCAGACCTGCTTAGAGATTATCAGTAGGGTTTTGACGTGCCTGACTGGCTTCCACTCTCACCTGTCACCCCCTGGGAAAGCGCTAATGCCCCCAGTTGTACAAAATGCAGCAGCAGAACAAATCACACTGACATCCTTGGTTTACCCTCATGTAAATTGTCTCTGGTAATGGGATGAGGAAATGGATGGGGTATTTAAGCACACTGTGAAATGCAATAAAACCAGGCCTGAATCATGGCTTAGGAAAACAGCAGAGCAGATGGGGGCTAGTGAAGAATGAAAGAAGCCATCTCCAGAATCACCCACGTTTAGCTCAGCAGGAAGGTCACTGAGGGAGGTCTCAGAAGAAGAAGAAAAAAAATCCCTGTAGGATACTTATAACATTCCAAAAAGCAACCACAGCGCAGATGCCTCCTGGGAAGACAGAGCTCTGTCCAGATTTGAGGTAATTATGCTGTTGAAAAAAAGGCTGGGTCACAGCTCCAATTAAGCAGCTGATTGGCAAGGAATGCCTGCTCACACTCAGCACTCCTCATCTAGGCATTCATAATCCTTGCAGCATGCTGGCCCTTTGCAGGAAAGGGACCATCTCTTCTAAGTGACAGGTTTCAGCCTGCCTCACCATACCCATGTCAGCTCATAGGCACCTTACTCTTGGTGGTGACAGTCATTCACAAAAACTATCTCTATTTTGCTAAGAAAAAAGTCAGTGACTAAGAGCATTTGCTATTCTTGTTGAGGACCCACGTTTGGTTCCTAGAACTGGCTTGGTGCCTCATAATCATCTGCAATTCAGCCCCAGGGGATCTAATCTGATACCCCTTTCCAGCTTCCATGGGCTCCTAAATGCATGTGGTACACGTAAACTCGTGCACGCACGTGCACACAGACACAGACACAGACACAGACACAGACACACATTAAAAAACAAACAAACAAAAAAGACCAGATGAGTTTGAGTGACAAAGAGAAAGCCATGACATCATGAGGAATTGCCTAAGATCATCTCAACAATGTAAGAGAGTAAAATTCTTGGTCATCTGAAAGGCAAAGGATGGAGGGAGCTGGGGGGCCTGCAGGGAGACACGTGGTTTCATTTGAATCTTTCTTACTGATTTCAGAGTCTCTCTCTCTCTCTCTCTCACACACACACACAAACACACACACACATATTCAGGATATTAATAGTTTAATCCCATAATTGTGTAAGAAAAGTCTTCTAACTGACCATTATTATCCAGAGTTTCTGGTTTTATAAATTCAAGTCTCTTCCATGCATCCTGCCCCCACAATTTTCTGTATTATTAAAGGCAGTTTTCTTTGAAGTTGAGGGTACATACTTCTGATTTTCTTCTGTTTACATGGTCTTGAGATTGGCTCTTTAACCAAGATTTATTTCCATTCTAGAAGTACAGGGCATGTACAACTTCCCCTACACCAAGGGCAGATGCTATCCACCACAGCTCACCAGTTTTCTCACCGACACTCTGCCGTGTGCTGGGTCCGTGACCTGTCTTGTTTCTGTGGCCTGATAGAAACTTACGGAGAAAGGATTTCTTTCGGCTCCCAGTCCATCATGGCAAAGAAGGCATGGTGGAGTTCTTGGCAGGGGGAGGCTGCTTGCTCACGTGTGACCTCAAGGAAGCAGAGAGTGGCCCAACCCCAGTGACCCTCCTCCGCCAGCAAGGCCCCATGTCTAAAGGTTCTACAACCTCCCCAAACAGTGCCACCAGTTGGGTGGGGACTGAGTGCTCAAGCCCGTGAGACATCCAAACCAAGAGCATATGGGAAAACTCAGGGTATGGCCATGGCCCTTCTCTGTTTTATAGTCCACCGAGGAATGCTCAACTGTCCACTCCTAAGCCAAGACCACTCTTTTAATTACAATTGCTTTCCATGACAACTGGATACCCTGCAGAGCCAATTCTCTTTTAAAGTCAAGACTTAATTCCCATACCACACATCTCACTATTTTAAAGCACACCATGTCAGCACTTTATGGTGTTCCGTTTAGAGTACAGGGAGTACCTGAAGTCCTCCAATGATCACCACTATCTAATTCCAGAGCATTTTAATGACCCCACAGAGACACTTGGAGCCCAGCAGTCCCTCCCCACCACCCCTGGCAGCCACTAGTCTCCTTTCTGCCCCTGTGGATTTGCTTGCTCTGTCCATTTCATGCAAATAGAAGCCCGAGATCCATGGCCTTGTGCCTGGCTTCTTTCATCCGGCATCATGCTTCCCAGGTTCCATCATGAACCCTGCTTTTTCCTGCCTAAGAGCATTTCACTGCACACACTGCAGTACGGACAGCTGGTGTCCTGAGGCCAGGACTGGAGAAGGAATTAACCTGCAGATGGAAAACTGCAGAGGCAGTGGGTAATGGAGAGAGCACACAGTCAGGAAGGAGGGAAGGACATTCAGACACAGGCGTGTGGAGTGCCTGGTGATCTGTCTCTCCTCCATGAGGTTGTCCTCTTCAATAAGCAGTGGCTTAGTCCAAGAAACCTGGGGTGGGGCGGGGGGGGGGGGGGACTGAAAGGGACTGGAGCTGCCCAGCCAGCCACAACGGATATCTAATAGAACATCAAGGAGGAGAGACAAGGCTGCCAGTGTGCCTCCCTGTGTAGATTTTGAATGGCTCTGCCTGCCTCTCTCTCTCTCCCTCCCCTCCCCTCCCCCTCTCTTCTCCCCTCGCCCCTCTCTTTGTAACACTCAGGGGAGTCATGTAAAAATTTGCTCACCACGGTGGATGCATGTAACGGGACTGAATTATTTTGGGGCATCAGGGGATCTTGGTCCCCTCTCAGGCCAGGATATACAGGCTGGGGTGGGGGATTCTATGACCTGCAGGCATGTCACAGCGGAAGGTGACTCTCCATAGGAAGGGACAGTCGCTGCTCTTGGAGTCTAGGATGCCCGGGTGACCAGGATCACTGACCTTTGAGATCCATCTCAGAGTTTCCCTTCTTTGAGGAGAGGGTAAGAAAAGCCAAGTGATGACAATAATTACGGACTTCGGAAATTTGAAACTCGTTTGAGGCTCTGTTGTTAATGGATTATTTATCAAGTGTACGTTCTAATTAAATATACAGGAATACAAGCCCATTAAAGCATGAGCCGAGAACAAATTAGTATCAAATTAATTTCCAGTCCAATAACTTGAAATATTGCTTTTATGGAGCAGGGGAAGTGGGGTTCAGTGTTCATAAACCATTCCTTGAAGTCAACAACCCGACTCATCCTAGTTGTCACGAGAGTTCACACTTACTTCTCAATGTTTCCGAGTTAGACAGCTCCCAGAATCCCTTGCTTACTCCTAACAGGCTTTGATCTCTTCAACTGCAAACCACAGTTACCAGATTCTCCCAGACAATTCCAATTTCCTGAAATTTAGTTTTTTTTTCAACATGACTCACCACATGCCAATGAACATGATTTCATTTTGATGATGCTGTGAGTCACTGTCTGGATAATTTCATGATTCAGAAAGACACAGTTGGTCCCTCCATGTAGCACATTATTGGTTGGGAAAGTGGATTCTGGAAGTGGCAGAGATCACTGGGGAGTTGACTCCTAAGGCAGTGTCAGAGGCAAAGGGGTCCTTACAGGTTGTACTATGATCAGAAACCAGCAAAACCCACTCTGGTCCATAGGCCAGTTTGTGCCGGTGTCTGAGGTCAGGTGGTTCCTATGTAATGATCTCATGTGCAGGAACCAATCAGATCTTCTGGGCTTATGAGATTGGCCCAGAGGTTCTGGATGTGGCACACAGCCAGGAACACAACAAGCAGCCAGTGTTCAGAAATCTCTATCCCATCCAGGGAGCCCTGGGTCTGTATTACCACAGTGGCCCTTGTTGGGTATCTGTAGCTACTGGTCTCTGTACAGCCTTTCTCAGACCTCAGCCTTCTCTTCTCTCTGATTGCCCCCAAAGCATCAAACTGCATGGCCTCCCCATCTAAAGATGTTTCTGAATGAGCCCATGCCCTCCTAGGACCATCAACTTTACTTCGTTCTGCTGATCCAATGCATTCTACTTCTCCCAACAAAACCTCATGTGGAAGAGAGTCCTGAACATGCACAACCACAAAATTACATCTCTCCCTTCACAAAAGCTCTAACTGTGCATTTTATATACTTATTATTTAACCGAATGCATTTCCCCACTCCAGTAAAATACCGTTTTCCTTCTGTTTAATACTATCAATCAAACCTAATGGTGGGTAACAGGAAGCTGGAGTAACAACTCTTGAACCTGAAAATTGGTAGCCCTCAACTCCATGCCCTGCGGGAAGTCAAATCAAACCCCTGCTACCCTCTCTCCATGGACTAGAAAGAATGGGATTTTATATGCTGAAACGGTAGCAAAAGGGGCCCTGACCTTGCAATTTAAAATGACTTCTAGCAGACAGAGTCTGTGAAGGCATGCTGAGAGAATGGTGTTTACAACGTGCTCTCAAGGGTCTGGGCCACCCCTGCCATAGGCAACATGGTGAACCCCTTTGATTCAATGCTCAAAGGCAAGATGTTTTTAGCTGGAAGGAAGCTTGGGGCCTTTTAAGGCCAATCTTACTTTGCTAGCTAACTACTTGCCCAAAGGATGTGGAAACTGAGGTCATGATTGTGAAATTGTCATTAATGGTCACAGAGGTGGCTGATGGCAGGACAGGACCTCAAACACAGACCTCTCCACTCCAGGCAGGCTTCCCACTATGCCTCACTGCTAGAGACATATGCCCTGCCCGCTCCCAAGCCTCGACTTTTGAGAATAAATCTCCCCCTACAATGGAAGCTTATGCTCCCCACTTTGCTGCAGGGCCT